CCTGGGACGCTCATTCTCGGGACTGCCCCACCGCAGGGACCTCTCACTGCAGGATGCCCCCGCCCCGCCCCGCCCGCGGGAAGGCTGCCGGGCATTGCACGCAGGCTCTAGCAGAAGCCGAAGAAAAAGCGGTGCGTGCGTGCGGAGGGCGGGAAGGAGGTGGCCCCCACACAGACCCCTGCGTGACGCTTCTGCGCGGCTCCAGCTCAGCGGGGTGGGGACAATTGGCTGAGAGGCACTGAAGCGAAACTACCCCTGGAGCGGGAGGCGTGGTGCCCTCTGGAAGTTGTAGTTCCACCCCCGCTTCTCGGTCGATCTTCTCCAGAGCCGGCCCCTCGCCCCAGTTTCCGGAGTCGGCGTCGCGGCGCCCCCTGGGAGTTGTAGTTCTCTGTGGGCGCGGAAATAACCTCGCACCGCGATCGTCTTCTGGGAGTTGCAGCTCCCTCTCTCCACCAGGGTGGCTCGCGCGCCTTCGCTCAGTTTCCCGAGCTGGCGCCGCGGTACTTTTTGGGAGTTGTAGGTTCCTCCCCTCAGGCCGAACTTAGTCCTCTTGACCCCAGTCCCGCTCCGTCACGCACCTGCGCCAGTGGACCTCTGGGAGCTGTAGTCCTCCACTCTCAGTCCGGTCTCCCGGGCCCACTGAAAGATGGTCCCCTCCGTAAACCGACTCTCCCTCGGATTCCGGTCCGTTTATTTGCTCCCACCAGTCTCCCTCTCCTTGCCCTGGCCCCGCCCACACCCACTCGGGCCGGCGCCGCGTTGCCCTCTGGGAGTTGCAGTTCCGGGCCAGGCCGAGCCGGGCCGGGCCTGGCTGTTGGGCTCTGGGACGCGGGGAGGGGCCCAACACTCCCAGGGATGCCGGGCCCTGGGTCCGGGAGCTGGAGATTGCGCTTCGGGCCTCCGCTCCGGGAGCTTCACCCTCCGGGGAGCTGGCGGGAGGCGGAACCCTGGCATGGCGCGCCAGGTAAGGCGGGCCCGGATCCCTCACCCGCGGACCCCGACGGCGGCCGCGCGGAGAGCCCCTCCAGGCCCTCGGGAGCCCCGCCCGCCCCCGGCCCAGAGCGAGCCTCGCAGCCCTCGGGGTCCCTTCCCGGACTGAGGGTTTGCCCTCCGCATCTCAGGTTCCGGGGAGCGGAGGCAAAGGGGCGACCGAGTTTTCATCAAAGGGAAACTGCAGTGGGTTCCGGGGAAAAGGTCCGCTGGTGGGAAGGGGGCTTAAAAAAAAAAGCCTCTGGGACCTGGAAGGTAGGGGGCCTCAGAGGCCCGGAAGTGGGGGTGGGTGGGCTCAGAAAGCTGGGAAAGTAGCCTTAGGGAGTTGGAAAGGTGGGGGACCCCAGGGAGTGGAAAAGTAGCCTAAGGAGCTAGAAGCGTGGGGGCCCGGGGCCTGGAGTGGTCTTTGTGCTGCTGTTGGCAGCAGCGAGTTAGGGGTGCTGCAACCCAAATCATTGTAGGGAGCTGTGGGATCATTGTAGGGAGCTGTGGGACCAGAGACAAAGTGGGAAGGGGGGTCCAGAACTTCAGAAGGGGGAGACCCCAAGTGCCAGCTGTGGACGGTCAGCCTGTGGGCGTTTTGTAAGTGCACTGCCCCAGACCATCCCTGGGCTCTCAGGACCCAGAAGCCGGCTCTTGGGTGCTGGGAGACACGGCCTGTCAGCCTGGAGGACTAGGGTGTGGAAGGGCCACCCTGGAAGGCTGGGCCTTGGGACTCGCCTGGCTGAAGCCACACTGGAGGCGCTCTGTCTGTGGCCCCGGTGTTGGCTGGCATTCCCCACACAGCTCTCAGTTTCCCCAGGGGGCTGAAAGCTGAGGTGAGGCAAATGTGGGACAGGGTCCTACAACTGAAACCAGGCCTCCAGGCTGAGCTGCTCGGGTGTTAGGCAGAGCCAGAGGGCCTTCCCAGAGGAGTGAGGGCCCGGGGGTCGGTCTGTAGTGGACCTCACTGGATGCCCACAGCAGCCCTGCCAGGGACACCAGGGTGACTTCATCCCACAGGGCCTGCTGTGAGTCTACGGCCCAGAGGGTGGTGGGGTCCTCGGGAGGGCTGGAAACCCAACCCTGGGCTCGCACCTGCTGGGTCATTACCAGTTTAGTAGCTTGCAGGAAGGAAACAGCCCTGAGCAGCTTCTTGGCTGAGGGTTTTGAGTGTCTGCCGAACAAGTGCTTGATGGCCCAGAGCTGGCTCCCCAAAGGCCAAAGCTGACCCTGCCGGGCCCTGCTCCCCTCCTGAGGCAGGGAGTAGCCACGAAGGGGGTGTGGGACGCACTCTGCTTTTGTTACGGGGTGTTGGAAGTGGCCGTGCTGCTTGCTTGTTGCAGTGTGTCTGCGGCCCTTCCTGCAGTCTCGGTAACAACCATCAGTCCGAGGGGGAGTTGGACATCCATTCACAGCCACACACCGAGGGAGGGTGCTGAGGGAGAGACGCACTGGCAACCTCACCAAGGCCTGGAGGGGGTGTATGTGTGTGTAGGGGTGTCATTCTTCTTATGTTTTAAATCCACCCTGCTAGAGCCCCAAGACTTTACACACCCAAAGGGGACTTTGCTCATTAGCACTGATGAGTTTGCTTGGTGAAGACAGGACTGGATGGCTGGGGTACTTGCTGCCTCCAGCCCTGCCCCCCCCCCCCCCCCCCCCCCCCCCCCCCCCCCCGCCCCCCACCTCAGCTCTCCCACAGGCCCCAAGTACAGGGGGTGGAGCCAGACGCCCTGGGCTGTGCCCACAGGTGCATATCACCTTCAAGGACGTGGCTGTGCAGTTCTCCCAGGATGAGTGGCGGCTCCTGGAGGAGGGACAGAGAGCCATCTACCAGGACGTGATGCAGGAGAACTACGCAGCGCTGGTTTCCCTGGGTGAGCGGCGGAATGACTGCGTCCCAGGACCTCGATGTGCCCACCCTCGGTAGACACTGTGCTGAGAGGGCAGCTGCACTGTCTTCTGGGTTCAGGGGGTACATCGGCCCATTTGATGGGGGGAGGCAGGCTCAGGCTGACAACCCTGCAAAACTGAACAGGGTGACCTCGGGGTCTGAGGACACACGGGTCCGGGTCATCCCATGGGCATGTGTTTGTCAAATGTGACCGTGTGTCCTGTGTCACGTGTACTACATGCGGCATTCACCACCATGAGTGACATGTATCACACAGACCACGTGACATTCATGACGTGACATTCACGTGTATCATGTATACCACATGTGACATTCACCATGTGAGTGACATTTACCATATACCATATGTGATGTCCCTCACATATGATGTGTGTACACATATACACATGCTTGTATCACACACAGAAACCCTTGTAGCCACACATTTCATTTATGTGACACGTACTGATAATACGCGTTACGTATCACCTTACAGTACATACAAATTGTATAACAAGTTCCACTGGCAAGGGTATCACCAGTAGTGTGTGTGCCACATGTAGCAAAAGGCGTGTGCAGTGCATGTAACATGTTGCAAGTGTGTGTGTTACAAGAGGGACTGGTGACGGGTGTTACATATAATGTGTATGCTGTGTAGAATGTGGTGTCTCACATAATGTGTACTGCACACGTACACACGTGCCACATTCTCCATGTTTGTCATGCACAGGATATGTAGCATGTGTCACATGGGCACTGCGACACTTAAACGTGGTCGGGTGGGAAGGACATGGGGACCAGCTTCCACTACCAGAGTGACTGTCCCCTCTTCCTCACCCAGGGACAGCTGAGCTGCTCCCACTCTCCGCCTTCCTGTCACCGACAGAGCCCGAAGGGACCATGGGGCCCGGGAGCCAGGCTGACAAAAAACAGGAGCCTTGTGGCCAGGGAGACCCCCAGGGTGAGTCATGGAGGACCCCCGGGGTGAGCGCTGTAGTGGCGGGGGCCCAGGTGAACCACATGACAGGGAGACCGAAATGAGCTGTGTGACTGGGGGTGGGGGGACAGGTGACCCATGTGGTCAGGCACAACCTCTTGGGTTGTGGTCCTCAGCCCTATGGCCTTGTGATGACACTGACCATGACCCTGCCGGGACTTCTCACTGACACAGGCAGACACCCCACATGCAGGTGTACACACAGACAGAGACAGACACAACACAGCCAGACACACACAAGCTGGCAGAACCCAGTCACCTGGGAAAGCACTTGGCCCCTGCCACACAGCACCCTGCAGTCTGGGGGTGCGGGAGTTGGAGGAGGCAGCCTCTCCATTTTAACTGAGCCCCAACAGGAGCTTTGGGGAGGGCTGTGCAGACGTGAATGCAGTGGCCAGCCTGCCCTTTGCAGGAGGGCCCCCGAAGCGCAGCCTGCCCCTCTCCGCCCTGGTGCAACTGGTGAAGGGGATCCCTGAGTTCCTGCTCCGAGAGGCCCCCGAGGATGAAGCGAGGGTGCGCCCAGCTGGTGAGTCAGCAGCTCTGCTCCAAGACCACGGGTGGAAAGGACACCCAAGCTTTGTTCCTTCCCTTGTGCAGGGCGGCTGCTGCCTGCCTGCTCCTCTGTCTCCACAGACGTGGGCATACAGGGCCAGGGCAGGCTGAGTGGGGCTGGGCTTTGGAGAAATGAGGGTTGGGTGGACTGGTCTTGGGGTGGCACCAGGGGGCTGGGCATTTCCCATCAGGACAGAAAGAAGCAGGAGGGGACCTGGCCTTCACTCTCTGGGGGGGACGTGGGACAAGCCCTGGGGAACCATCCTCCCCTCTCCTCGACCCTCACTGTCAGGAGTTCTGGGAGCAGGAGAGGCCAGGCTTGCCCAGGCTCACTCATCTCTCCTTCGGCAGAAGCGGTCAGTGGACAGGGGTCTCCAGGGGAGGCAGGCGCAGGGGTCCCAGACAGTGAGCCCCCGATGATGCCCTCCTGCAGTCCCGTCAGGAGGAAGAGCCGCTGGAGCCAGGAGGGAGAGGCACCAGGGCCAGGTGAGACACGGCTGTGGGGATGCAGGAGTGAGCTTTGTCAGCTCAGGAAAGGGTTGGGACTGAGGACGTGGGCTGTGTCTGACCAGTCCACAGTGAAAACTGACCATGGGGGTGTCTCCAGACTTGGAGATCCTGCTCCCAGCCCCTTGGATCCCTGCACCCTCCTCTGGCTGTAGGTGTGGCCAACCCTCCCTGTGCAAACTGAGCAGCTATGGGGAAGGCACAGGGATCCAATGCTAAGCCCCTGCATGGAGCAGCTCGCCTGGGGGACCTGAGGCCCCTGCACACTTCTGGGGACTGGAGATGGCATCTTCTTACCATTTAAACAATTTACCAGGCCCCAGCAGTGCAGTTGAGTCTTTAAGGGCATTAGATAGTTGAGAGGGTACAGACCACTCTGCTTCAGCTCTCTCTGGCCAGGGTGTATCCCACAAACACCCCAAGGCCCAAACCAAACATCTCTGTGCTGGTGACACCACTGCAGATTGATTGGGTGAAGATTTGGCTAGGTGGCAGATCTGAGATGGTGGCATGTTCCCCGAAGAGCCCTGGTGTCCTGTGCCCCTGCACCTGCTCACACCCCAGGGAAGCTTGGCAGGCCAGGCAGGTTCAGCTGAGTGTGAAACAGGGCCTCAGGGCCAGGATCACCCCGTCTTCCATGGGGAGAGAAGGCCCAGGGAGAAGCGTTCTCAGTTCTGAGCACTGGGGCTCAGACATGCTGCCCTCACGCTCCCCCGCCTCCTCCAGGGCTCTGTCCTGGGAGCAGCCCCTTGCAGGGCCTCATCGACTGCTTGAGAGAAATCCTTGTGCGGGGACCCCAGCCACCTGAAGCGCCCCCCAGCAGACTACACCCCCGCCCTGCCTCCAGTGGGAGCCTCCCTGGGCTGGAGCCAGCATCAGGAGGGGCACCCCCAGAAGGTGAGTCTGCCCTTGCCTGGGGCTGGGGGATTTGTCTCTCCCCTTGTGAGGGCCGGAGGAGCTGGTGGGGGGAGGGGGAGAAGCCTCTGCTGGCCAGGGCTGGATGGACGTGGAGCTTGCAGGGGCCCCTCACCTGAGCCTGAAGCCCCCCTTGCTGCTCTGGGGGCAGGGAGCCCGTCATAGTACTTTAATCAACAAGAAGAAGCTGCTCCTGTGGGCCACGTGGTCCCTTGTCCAGGGGGCACCTGTGACCACATCCTTTCTTCTCAGTGAAGACGGAAACATCTCCGGGGGCCTGCACCCTCCAGAGCTGGGTGGCCCCTCTGAAAGAGGGTCTGGTGGCCTGCAGTGGCCACTCCTGCCCCTTAGGAGCAGGGCAGCCGCCACCCTGGGAGCGTCTAGGGACCCGGGAACAGGACTCTGGAGGTAATGCCCTTCCTGCTGGGACACTCCAGCACTGCCCACCCTGCCTGCTGCACGCCGGTCAGCATCACCAAATGGCCTCCCAACAGGACCTGAGCTCGTGCAGAACCCCCTCCCCAGGCCCTGGGCATCCCACCCACCTGCTCTCGAGCCCTCTGCCCTCAGTCCATGGTGCAAGACAAGCCGAGGTGCAGTGCTCATTCCCTAGTCTCACGGGCCCTTCCCTGGGGGGACCCTCAGCCCCTAGACAGGGTCTGCTTTCTCGAGTGAGGGGGCGGGGTGGGGGGGCCGGGTAGCTCCTGCCAGCCTCTCGCTGACTCAGGCTCCTCTGTGGTTTCCCCCACCTATATCTCCTGGGGCCTCTGTGAGCAGGTCAAAGCCCCCAGAGAAGGGTGCCCTGCAGAAGCCCTGCTGCGGCAGAGAGCCGGGCACTGATGGGCCCCTTCTGTCCCAGCCAGTCGGGCCTCAAGCTCCCCGCTGGAAGCCCTGGAGGCCTGTCTGAAGGGCATTCCGCTGAGTGGGCCCTCACCCCCCCAGCCGCCCACTGCCTCTTGGTCCTGGAGCCTCCAGCAAGGACCCCAGGAGTCTCTGAGGCCTGAGCTGAGACACCATGCACCGCACAACTCAGGTGGGTGCCAGGCCCTAGCTGGCTCTTGTCCAGCATGGACAGCACCCTGAGGCCACCCTTCCTCTCACTAGCTATCCTGAGCAATCCCCAGCTGGGACCTGGGCTTGCCCCTTGGATAGACCCCAGCTGGGTGCCTCCTCCCTCAGTTCTTACCGAGCAAGCTGGTGGTTGGTGGGACCTGGCCATCCCTCGGGCTTGGCTGTGACACCAACCCTGCTGTCCTCCCGCAGAAGTGATCATGGGGCTTCTTCCTCTGGGCCTGCAGGGTCTGAAAGACCACCCTGCCCACCTGCCAGGCCCCCATGGCAGCCCCAGCAGCCCCTCCTCGAGCAGCAGCACCAGTGGGCACCTGGACTTGAGGGGTCCCGAGGGAAGCCGGTGGCGCCTCCCTGGACAAGGTAAGCTGTCCCGAGCTTCTCGGGTCCCCTGGTCCTCCCGCCTGGGCACAGAGTAAGGAGTGGAGGTGGGCCAGGCCACACACCATCAGCTAGTGAGATGGGAGCTCCTCCTCAGTGGAAGGTGAGTGCTCGAGCCCTCACTGGCCCAGCCCTTGAAGGAAGACTGGTCCAGGAAGACTGGCCCAGCCCTTGGAAACGTGCCTCACCTGGGGTGGCTAGGGACCTCAGGTTGACCTTGGGGGTCCATGTAACCTGGTATCTGCCTATGACCTTGGTTTACCCCCAGAGGGTATGTCCGTCTGCCTCAGGTACTGTCAGGGATAGGACATGTGCCCTCAGTGGGTCTCTCTGTGACCTCCCGTGTTCCTAGGAGTTTTATCAGTGACCTTGCAACTGCCTTAGGGGTTCTTTGGGTGATGTCACCTCTGTCCTCCGAGGTCTGTGTATGACATCAGACCCTGGCACCGTCTGCCCCACAGAGCGCTGACCTCCATGGTCAGTGGGGTCTCTGGAATACACCGGACTCGTCCGTGTGGCCCTGTCCTCCCATGAGCGCGGAACTCTCCCTCAAGATACAAGTGACATTTCTTTTTAGTTTTTCCTTTTCAATACCCAAAACACAAACTCAGTGCAGTCAAGTAGATTACAGTGCATTTACATGACAGTGAGCCCTGGTGATGGTGTGAGTTAGTCATTAGTCTGCTAACCACAGTTTGGCAGTTCAAACCCACAAGTTGGCCCCATGAGAGAAAGATGAGACTATTTGCTACTGTAAATATTTATATTTTTAGGAACTTCTAGGGGTTCAATAAGAGTCGGAATCAACTCAATGGCAGTAGGTTAGCTTTTAGTTTAGTTTTGTCTGTTTGTTTGTGTGACTGGATGATGACATGAAGGTGTCCTAGTGGGGCAGGCGTTTGAGTGCTTCACTGTGATCCAGAAGGTCAGTTGTTTGAGTCCACTAGCTGCTCCCTGGAGAAAGAGGGCCGTCTGGCTCTATGAAGATTGCATGCAGCTCTTGAAGCCCAAGGGATGGTTCTCCTGGGCCTTGTAGGGTTGCTGTGAGTCAGACTCTCCTAATAGCAACGGGTTTGTTGTAGCTATCTGATACAGTTATAGGTATAAAAAGATATGTGATATGTAGCTATAGGTCTGGGTATGTGATGCAGATAGGTGATGTGGGTATGTACTGTGTAGATATGGGATGATATCGATAATGTGATGCGGAAAGATATGCGATGTGGAGGCAGTTGTGCAGACAGAACAAGGGGACACTGCACAGTTTAAAATCAGGGAGAGTGTGTCCGGATTGTGTCCTTTCATTGTACTGGACGCTGAGCACATCATCAGCGCAGCTGGCTTACAGGAGGAGGAGCCTGGAGTCAGGCTCAGAGGAAGGCTAATCTAGTAACCTGTGATGGCACAATGTTGCCTGCAGAAAGTGAGGAGGACTTGAAACCCTTACTGAGGAAGATGGAAGAGTGTGCCCTGCAGTATGGATTGAAACTCAATGTAAGGACAACCGCGATCCTCACAACTGGACCAGCAGGAAACATCCTGCTAAATGGAGACAAGGTTGAAGTTGTCAAGGATTTTGTCTTCCTTGGATCCACAGTCAGTGCTCATGGAAGCAGCAGGTTACTCTGTTGCACAAGAGCTCTTTAAAGTATCGAATAGCAAGGATGTTACTTTGAGGGATAAGGTGCACCTGACCTAGCCATGGTGTTCTCCATTGCCTTAGAGGCATGTAAAAGTTGGACATTGCAAAGGGAAGACCTTAGAAGAATCTGCATTTAGAATGTGGTGCTGAAGAAGAAAATTAAAAGTACTGCTTTTAGGGCTGCTAAAAGGACAAACCGATCTTTTTTGGAAGAAGTACGGCCAGAGTGGAGTGCTCTTAGAGGCAAGGATGGCAAGGCTTCGTCTTACGTACTTTGGACGTGTTGTCAGGAGAGACCAGTCCCTGGAGAAGGACATCTTGTTTGGTCAAGTGGAGGGGCGGCCAAAAGGAAAGCCCTCAACGAGCTGGATGGACACAGTGGCTGCCACCGTGGGCTCCGGCAGAGGAATCGTGGTGAGGGTGGTGCAGGCCTGGCAGGGTTTGGTGGGTTACTGTGGGTCAGAGTGGACTCCGTGTCACCTGACAACAATATGATAGAGATATGTGTATAGATACAGGTATATGATAAGCAGATACATGGGGTAGACATAGACAGCATGTGATATCAGAGCTTCTGTTAGAAAGCCACAGAGGCTCTGTGGGAGAGGTCCACACCCCCCACCATGACCCCATGACCCCTTCTAGTCACATGCCGCGTCCAGGGGTGGCCCTCACATAAGGAGCACCTGCCTTGCTGCTTGGCCATGCGGGGTCTAGCTGGGACCTGGGACCGGGTCCCCAGCACCCTCCCTTGTCTTATGTGGCGGTGTGCTGGTGGCAGGTTGTTGTGCGAGGAGACGCTGCTGCTTTCTCAGTGTATCCTGTACTGCACTTCGCTCTCTAGGGAGCATGGTGGTGATGCCTTCTTGACTCTTGGGCATTTCTGGCCCAGCCCCCCTCCCCACCCCCCACCCCCTGAGGGTACTGCCACTTCCCACTTGGCTTTAGGGCTGCTCAGGGCTTGGACCCAAATTCGGCCGACCCATTCAGGAAGAAACTGGGGGCATTGCTCACCCAGGAAAGGCTCTCTTCCCCCTGAATCTCCAGTCCCTCTGGTCCTCGCGGCCGTTGCGACTCTGCTGTGAGATGGGTGTGCTGCTTCCAGGCTCCACCTCAGGGCTGGCTGCCTGCCTGCTGCGTCCTGTTGTTGGTGCCAACGGGCCTCGACACTGGACGAGGCCCTGCTCCACCGCAGGCCTTCCTGGGGAGTGGGGGTGTCGAGGGAGGCCGTGTGTGCATGCTGCTACTCAGACATCCACCGAGAGACCAGGCTGGGTCACCACAGTGCTCAGTGACCCGGCTGTGCCCTCTCTTGGGGCTGCAGCCTTGGGCCTGAGACTGACTGAGCATGACCTTTCCAGGAAGCCCAGTGGGAAGCCTCCTGACCCAAAGCCTGGAAAGACACCCAGGAGGGAGCCCCCAGCCCCGGACACAGCCTGCCAGACCGCAGCCTTCAGACGCAGGGCCCGGGACCTGGACGCCGCCTGTAGGCGGTAAGCTGTGTGGTATAGACCTGTGGGCCTGGACGCTGCCCCTGGTTGCCACCGTCCAGCTCCCATCCCATCCCGCTCTGAGGTCAGAAGCCAGAAATGCTGGCCCTGAGCCCATTCCTACCCCCCAGTGACCCTGTAGGACAGGTAGACGTGCTTCATGTTCCAGTACCTTAAATCTGTGTGGGAGCAGAAAACCTCGTGCTTCTCCCGAGGAGCGGCTGGAGGGTTGGAACTGCTGACCTTAGGGTTGGTTAGCAGCCCAAGGCCTTACCCAATGATGGTGAAGTCGGGTGGAGCTGCTAGCCTTCAGGCCCCCACAACATGTCTCTCTCGGCCCTGCACCTAGTGCCCAGCAGGCCCCTCACAGACTCTGGTGGCCAGGCCTCTTTCCCACTGTGGGCCAGGACACACCCCTGCCTCTGCCACCACGAACCCCAGGGCCTCGGGCCAGGAAAGGGGTCAGCGCCTCCAACCCGCCCCTGTGCCTCTTGCCCAGGCCTCGCCCCCACCAGTACCATCAGGGCCCAGAGAGTGGCTGGAGGTGGCATCCTGCCCACCGAGCCAACAGGCTCTGGAAGAATTGCGCCCCTTCTGTGTCTCTACCTCGTGCTGCCTGCTGACACTCTGAGGGCAGAAGGACGCATGGATAGAAACACCAGAAAGCAGCAGGAAGGGGCCACCCTGTTGTCCCCGGGGCCCCTCAGGGGACTTGGTCGCCGTCCTCTGCTTAGTCTCAGGGCAGGGTCCCGCCAGCATAATTCCAACCTGGGTCTGCTGGAACGGCCAGGGCAACCCCCAGAGCACCCTGGCTGTGGACTGGCTACTGGGGAACCTCAGGCCTCAGACAGTCCCTGAGATTCCCCGGGGCTGGGTACCTGGCTAGGCCTGCCCACAGGTACAGAGAGGGCATGGTGGTCATCGCTGACCCTCAGCCCCTCCCGGCAACCAGAAGACAAAGATCTGTGTTCTTGCTTCCCGGGGGCAGCTGCTACAGCCTCCCCACTGCACCGCCTGGAGAGCTCTCTGGAAGGGATGTTACCTCTGCAGCCCCTGCGCTTCTCCTGCCTGACCGGCCCCAGCCTAGAGCCTGGCACTGGCCTCAGCCCCGGCCTCAGCCCCGGCCTCAGCAGCTCAGAAGGAGAGGACCAGCGACTGGAACTCGAGCCGAGACCCCTGCCTCTCCAGGGTGAGCTCTGGGGCTGGGGGGCAGGGGCGTGCAGGACACAGGACCATTTGGCCTTGGGGGTGACTTCACCTTGGTGCTCCGCCCCCCCACTCTCAGGGCCAACAGTGGCAGCAGGCTCATACCCAGGAGCAGCAGGGTCTGCCTAGAGCTCAGGGTCTACTTGGGCGGGGACATAGCTCCCAGCTCGGCGCTGGAGGACACTTAGAGCAAGAGTTGGGGCAGTGCTCCTCGGGGCAGGAGGCCCTGCACGTGCACCTTGGGCTGCTCCCCGCTGGTGCTCAATTCTCCGAGGGCCCTCTGCGGCCGCCCCCGGACTGTCCAGAAAACGCCTGTGCTAAGAAACATGCAGTCAGCTTCCTCACACGTGGGGCAGCCACCAGAAAGCGGGGGCTCCCCACGGGGTTTGCTACTGGGTATGGCAGGGAAGACCGGAGGAGGCTGCCAGCGGAGAGCAGAGGGGCCAGGGTCACGGTCGGTGGACAGCTACCAGGAGGGGAACAGGCTGCCCCAGGAGCCAACTGGGTGGGGAACTGGAAAGCCTAGGGAGACAGCCTCTAGTCGGGCCCCCACCCTGAGACCCGATGAGGCTTGGTGACCGAACCCCCAGGGCTGCACCCTCTCCTGTGCCATTTGCCAGTTTAAAAAAAGGTTGAAAGTTTGATTTCCATTTCTCAGGCCGTTTCTCCGGGTCCTCACGTCGGAATGGCACCAGGTCCCAGATGCAAACCTCTGCAGGTCCGGCCATCCCGAAGCTGGAGGGGAAGCCCGATTCTCATCAACCCACCAGACCCACTGGTGGGCCCAGGGCCTGGGACTCCCGATGGGACAACCCCCCTATCCCGGGTGACAGGGGCACCTTGCCGGCAAACACTGGACCTAGAAATGGTCCACAGGCCCTGAGCAGCCCCTCTATCCCAGGTGACAGGGGCACCTGTCTGGCAACCTCTGGGCCCAGAAACGCTCTCCAGGGCCCACAGGCACTGAGCAGCTCCCTGCTACTTCCAGCCAGCTCTAAGGAAGGACACCTCACTGCGGCCCCTGCTGGCCTCCCCCAGCCGCAGTGCCCCTGTGGGGATGTCCAGCAGGAGCTGCGTGGGCTCGCCGCTGCACTCTCAGGGAAGCTGGACTGGCTCGCTGCCTCCCTGGCCAGCCTTTCTCGGGATGTGGCTGCCATGAAGGACCAGGTGAGCCGCCTCAGGCGCCCACGTGCCCACAAACTAAAGAGCTGGGCTTCCTGGCCAAGGCCCGGCACCTTCCGAAGCCTACCCTACCGGAGGCCCCCAGGGCCCCCCAGGCCCAGGCCCAAGCTCCTGCGGGGCCCAGGCGAAGGTGGCTCTTCAGGGCCCCCCGTTGCAAAGAGGCCTCCAAGCGCTCCCCCAGCCTCAGCCATACCTTCAGGGCCCACCTGCGGTTGCACAGCCAGGAGTGTGCAGCCCCCCGAGGGCCCTCACCTCTCTCCAGTGCCTGCCACCGCTTCCCCCCGGAGCACCCCACTCCCAGAGGCCAGTGCTGCCCCAACCACCATCCTGACTCATCTTGTGGACATAGTGGGAGCCCAGGGTGGCATGCCCAAGCGGACCTGGAGTGGTGGGTGCACAGACCTGCGCTGGGGGGCCCTGGGAGTACCCCCAACACCCCAGCCACCCTCTGGGGGGCTACCCCACCCCTCCGTCCCAGCACCCACAGGACCCCTGTCTTCGCCTTTCCGAAGCCCTCAGTGCTGACTGGACCCCAGGGTGGTGCATGTTCATGGGACGCAGTTGGGGCGTCCTCGGCCTCTGTCTTGGCTCAGGTTTGATGACATTTTGCTGACCTCTCCCTGCCCTTTCCCCTGGGCCTGCCCAAGTGAAAGGGGGTATGGGTGTGCTGTGACTGTGTGTGGCGCACATGTGTGAGGGTCTTTGCATATGAAAGTGTCATGTAGATGTGTGTGAACTGTTTGTATATGTGTGAATATACTGTGTTGTTTAAATGTGAGGGTATGTGCATTTATACCTGTGTAAATGGGCAAAGATGTGTGTATGCAGTACTTGGGTGTAGGTGAGGGGTAGTGTTTACCTGTGTTGTGTGTACATCCATGTGATGATGTGTATGCAGTACGCGTGTAGGATGTGTGTACTATGAGTTTGTGTGATGTATGTGTGTACCACATGCATGTGGGCTGCATGCTTGTTTCCTGTGTTGTATGGGTGTACATATTTTGTGTGCAGTGTGTTATGCAAGGGGCTATGAAGGTTGTCTGTACATATGCGTGTGTTGTGTGTGTAAGCATGTGAGTATATGCAGCACATACATACAGGAGCGATGGTGTGTGTACAGATACCTGGGAGGTATAAGTGAGGGGTGTGTGTGTGGGTGTGTGTGTGTCTGCACATGCAAGGGGTGTGTAGATGGGGGGGAATGTACATGTGTGTGTTTGGATACAGTTGTGAATGTAGTATATACATGCTGGAGGATGTGAGGGTTGGGTATACATATGTGTGACTGCAGTACATAAATGCAGGGCATGTAGGTGGGGGTTGTGTTTGCATACGTGTATGCATGTGATGGTGTGTGCTGTGCATATCTACAGGAGTGTGTAGATGAGGGCTGTGTGTGTGATGGTGTGTGCACAGTATGTACATTCAGGGATGTAGGGGAGGGTTGTGGGTGTGTGCCTATGATAGTGTATGCAGTATTTGTATGCAAGAGGTATAGGTGAGAATTGTGTGCGTGTTTGTGTGTGCGCATGGGTGTGTGTTTGTGACTGTATGTAGTACATAGGTTCAGGGTGTATGAATGTGACAGTGTATATGCAGTGTATCTATAGGGGAGGGCTGTGTGTGCATGTGTATGACTGCAGTATATATGTGGGCTGTGTGTGCATGTGTGTATGCAGTATGTCTATGTGCAGGGGTGTGGGTGAGTGCTGTGTGTGCATATACATGTATGTGCACATTGCACATATTGGGTGGCTCTCTGTGGCCACCTCCTACCCGCTTCTGCTCCCAAAGGACTGTGGACTAGTGCCTCCCCTTGGGGAGGAAATTCCCATAGTCAGGTTGACTACATGGTGGGAGAAGTCTGCCCTGGCTCTGTGCTGGGCCCACCCATGTGGATCCTCAGATGAAAGGGAAAGATCTAGCAGACCCAATCCTGGGCTGGGAAGACTGTTCCAGTAGCCCTCCTTGGGAAAGCATGGCTTCTCAGGGAGGACTGGTCACCCCTGTCCTCATGGGAGGGGAAGGCCTGAGTCCGACATGCCAGGGACCCACCTCCCTGGCCAGTGGGCGGTGCTGAGCCACCACTGCTGGAGGAGCCCCTGGCTCCTGTCCCTGCACCCTGAGATCCCAGGCCCCTCACTGGAGTGAGCGTGCTGAGGGTCCAGGAGGGGAGACCCCGGTCAAGTTGCCCAGGCTGCTGTCAGGAGCAGAGGCCTGGCTGGCAGTGGTGCTCGTCCCAAAGACCATGGGGCTGCTCACACCAAACAAGGCCAAGAGGCTGACACCATGCCCAGAAGCTCCATGTGGCCCTGCTTCTGTGTGGGACCTGGGGAGGACAGCCAGGGAGTTGACAGGTTCTTGAGGGTCTGCCCTGGAAACCCCCAAACTGCGCCTGCTGAGGAAGCAGGGGAGCCTGTTAGGGCCAGGACCCGCCCCTGCCACTGGCTGTCCACTTCACCTTCTAGCTTTCCTCCCCCCCACCCCCCCACCCATGCTCAGCTGAGGACAGGCCCCTCCTGGGGTCCATTTAGTTGGCTTTGCATATTCGCCATGCACAGACCCTGCAGGGGCACTCGTGACCGGTTCCCACACTGCCCGGAGCCTCCCTGATGGTTACGGAGAGCCACTGGAGTTCAGCCTCAAGTCTGTCCAGCCCCTCGTCCACAGGGCTATTTTATGATGAGAATCTGCCATGGCTTTTGAGATTGTGAGTAGCAGTGGACAACGGAGGCCCAAACTCAAACTCCCTTTGAGTTTCAGGGAGTCCTCAGAGTACCCTCTGAAGCCAGGGACCACCTGAAGCAAGTGAACACCCACACCAGCCCGCCAAGATAGCTCGGGCTCCCACACCACCGCCGCCCCGGTGGAGGGAGGCACGTGCAGGCCCCGCTTCCGGTCTTCTTTGGCTTTGTGCTGGAGGCAGCGGTCAGCGTGCCCTCATCCAGCCCCGCTAGACCCGCCTTGTTCCTGGAATCCTTGATCCAGGCCCCCATCACACCCTCACAGGGTACACCACAGGTGTCAGCCCCACCTGTTCCGGCTTGTTCCGCCATTCCTGCCGCCTTTTGAATTGACCATGTGTTTTTAATCGTTCTTACCTCGACTAGCCTTGAAATGGAAAGAACTAAAATAAGAGACTTGAAAATTTACAGTAGTATTTGGGGCATTTTTCTCATGCTTTTCTTAGTTGTTGAGACAAACAAAACAGGATGGCTGGATATGGGAGACTTTAATAGGCCAGTTACCAAAATGACCAGCTTGGTGGAATACAGAACCCTGAACCATGGGACTGCAGACATAATCGTTTTCAAACATGCTCGAATTTAGTAAACATAGACCATGCACAATGTTTCAGAGCAAGTTAAAACATTTTGAAAATGTTGGGATTATATAGACTGTACTCTGATCATTATTAGCTTGTAAACTGGTAAAAAATATCTTATATACTGAGAACCACAATTGTGCTACTAAGTAACTCGTTTCAGAAGAGAAATAACAGTGGATATTAAAAATAAATAGAACTAAAGGAGTATCACACGCCAGATTTGTGGAGTAGAACACCCACTGGGTACCACGCGGCTGTTGCGGGGGGTGGAGACCGGCAAAGGACTCCAGTGTGCTGAGGGAAGTCAAAGAGCAGAGCAGAAATTGTGAAACATACAAATTGTAGGTATTCCCAACAAAACCGAAAAGTCTGTAAAGCAAATTTATTAGCTTGTGGTATAACATTGATTCAAAAGCACAATTAGCAACCAATTTCAGAGATTGACATCACTACAGATGCTATCGAATGATAGAGTAACATAAGCAACTTTCATTTTAAAGTTCATCTGTGGAATTTCGACAAGAACACAACCTAACAGACACAAGAAGAAACAGACCCTGAAAAGTCCTATCCCATTGGGAAAAACTGCGTGCATGATCAAACCTTCCTTTAAAGGAATCGGCAGCCCCGAGGCTTCACTGGTAAGTTTTATTTCACATTCACAGAGAAAATAACTTCACTAACAAAAGTTATCCCAGAGAATAGAAGGATATGGACCACTGTGGCTATAAGACCAGCACAGGTAGGCTTGATACCCAAACTTACCTCTCAAAGACCTATGGGCAAGCTACTGAAGGATCCTGCAAAGTACCGAAGAGTTGAACCTCAGGACCATGATGGGGCATCTGACAGGTGCAAAGATGGTTGCCTATCTGAACACTAGATGCAAGAAGCAATACCCACAGGTCATCCACTGCGTCACCAAGGGTGATAAGGGCCTTCACTAGGTAGAAGTCCTTCTGCCGCCCAGTCAGTTCCAACTCAGTGCAACCCTAGACAGGTTTTCTGTGACTTGTTTACAGAAACAGCCAGCCATGGCGTCTGGCCCACTGAAGGTTTGAACCGCTGGCCTTCGATTAGCTCAAGGTGCCACCTGCCCACGAAGGGGGTTGTAGTAAAGGGCATGTTGGGATGTCTCCTCGGCAGCATGGTGAGAGGTGGCCCTCAAAGGCACAAGGAACTGAGGGAGCCGCAAAAACGCTCACATGACATGAATGCGCATCGGGAAAGCGGGAAGGCAGCCGTAAACAGCATTTATAAGGCAGATGCCTACAAAACAAGTTGTGTTCACCAACTAGAAAATAAGCTTTCGTTTCTAGGAATAAATCCCTAAGAGATTTGTGTAGAGAAGACTGCTCAGTGCCCTGGTGGCACTGTGGGCTGGGCATCAGGCTGCTAACCTGAAGATCAGGGTTCAAAGTGACCAGCTGCCCTGAGGGAGGGTGACGAGGCTGTCTGCCCACCAACAGGTTGCAGCACCACCCTGGGTTGCTGAGAGGCGGAACTGGATGACAGTGGGGGGCTGACTGAGGGTGTGTTTATTATTTCAGTTGCTATCAGTGAGCATATTGCTGTTAGTACCCTCATGCTACAAATGTGGAGCTGGGGTCCCAGAAAAGCCAAGACACTTGCTCCTGGTCACACCACCTGTGGGGGATTGGCACCTGCTTTGAGCATGAATCACACTGAAAAGTAGACGTTTGAACCAGGCCTGAGCTGGAGCGGTTTGGGGAGGAGGGACTGCATGGATTGGTTTTTAGATGACAAGCCTGCAGTGAAGGAGCCCTAGGGGCTCAGTGGCTAAAGCATTGGGCTGCTAACCGCAAGGTCGCCGATCCCACCAAGATCTACAGCCTCAGACTTGCAGAATCAGTTCCACTCCGCCCCATAGGGCCCCCAAGTTAGGACTGATTCCATGGTAGTGAACCTGCAGCGTGTATTCATGGGTTAATTTGTTGGTGTCAGGTGAGAGTTGAGACTGGTCAAGTAGAGGCCAAGAGGGGATCGGGAACCCTTCCTGCCCATCTCCCTGGGGAGCTCCCATGCCTAACCAAGCAGACAAGAGGCCTGAGGGGTGACAGACTGGTCTAGAGGATTCCAAAGGTCCATGACAGCCGCCTTTGTGCTCCCAGGCTGCGTGTGAACTGTCTGCAGGGTCAGAGTGGGCAGCCCGGCTCTGACTTCCAGATAGGCTGACTCCAGTCCCCACTAGAACCCCAAGCTGTTGACAGTGGCTAGGCACCGAGCGCTGGCTTCCAGGGGCATTTCAGCATCAGGCCTCTTTCTGAGGGTTCCCCATTGCCTCCAGATGCTTTCCTGGTCTGAGGAGGTGCAGCCTGTGACCTGTGTCCCAGAACCCTCGCAGCCGAGCCAGAGAGTAGTCAGTGGGGTCTGCCAAGAGTGTGTGACTCCAACAAGATCCCTGTCAACAAGCTTGTGCCCAGGGGGTTTGTGGTTTGTTGGGCATCGGCAGAGGGGTTTATTGATGGTGACACCAGCCCCAGTTCCTCGTACCAAGGAGCCCATACCGGTGGATGCAGGCACAGGGTCAACATGGCAACACTGAGTGTCTCCGTGCAGATGGGATAGCAGTCCTGGCAGGACAAGCAGACAAAGCCAACCGGCAGTGGTCACTGGGTCGTGAGGAGGGTGTGGGATGAAGGGGCCACAAGTCTTTGCAGAAAAGGGACCCGAGTGCAGCCTGCTCTGCAGAAAGTCCACGGGGAGGGGCCAGGCCTCGGGATCCCTGGGCCAAGCAGAGATTCGTCCTGCTGGCAGGAGGGGACAGCACAGGCCTGGAATAGAATCCAATTAGCTGGGCCCTAAAGAAGTTACATAAGGGCCTTATGTAAGCGCCTGGCAGCTGTCACAGTCCTGGCTACCCAGGAACACCCCTCCCTGGAGTGGCCTGATCCCAGATCCCAAGACTATCCTGCAGGGCTGGTGGGAAAATTTGTCTCCCCGAGAACAACAACTCCCCTGTCCCTTGCTGCTCCTCTGGGAAGTAACCCTCAGCAGCCTTTCCCCAACAGCAGATTCCAGGATGGGGCAGGACAGCAACCACTTACAGACTAGTATGAACTGTGGCCCATGCCACCTCGTGCTTTCCTCTCCTGGCTAGTGTCTGGGGCGGTAAGGAGGTACTTTCTCTTTGTGGGGAGGGAGCCTCCCCCTCCCCCATCCAGGTCCTTGAAATCACATCCCCTTGATGACAGCTCCCTACACCCAGCACCGGGAAATATTTCAGAAGAGGTTGTGCAGAAAGAACTTGCACTCTCTGCTACCAGCACCTCCCTTCGTGCCCTCTTTCCAGAGCCCTGCCCACACTCACCGGCACCCCTCAGACCCACACACCTCCAGAGGTGAGCCCCGGGCCCTCTTCACAGATAAATCCTGGGGCACAGCGCAAGCTCTGGTCCTGTGGCAGAAGTTCAGGCTCCACAGCCCGAAAGCAGTCATGAAGCAGGTGGTTACCAAAGTGAGAAAATGGAAACTTTAAAGTAGCAATGCTGTAAGGGTTCTTGGTGACTTTCTGTATGTATGGCCACACTATGTAGGATGGGGCAACTGCTCTATGGGACTAGGCTCTGGATGGCAGTGCTGCCCTTCCCAGGAGCCCCCATTCCAGCCAGGGTCATAAAGGCCAAGGGGCGGGACAGACACTTATCAGATGCAGGGCCTGAAGGTAGGCCCAGGCCTCCCTATCCTCTCCCACCTGCTACCTGGAGGTGTCCTGAAAGGATGCCGCACAGCCTGTCGTTCACACTTGTGCACACGACATCCGCCTCTCCCATCACTGGGTATTTCTACCAACAGCCCCATTCTGCTGGTGGGTTCTGAATGTTCAGTTAGGACTGGCCCCGCCCATCAACATGACTCAACATCCACTCCTGCAGCCCCACGCCCTCTGCCGTCCTTCCCATGACCCAGGTCTGCACATGAGCACACACAAATGTACACAAAGACATGGACACACAGAAACGTGGACACATACGTGCACACAGCCTCTCTCCCACTTGGCGTTCTAAAGGCTCCAGCTCTGGGACTCTGCCCTTGCACTAACATCTGTTTGTCCTGGACTTGCCTTGGTCTGCCTTCAAGCCCCTGCCCCTCTTGGCTTTGTGAATCTTGTGTGGAATAATATTGGAGACAACAGATATGTTTTAACCAAATAATAAAAGCATTTTTTCTATATGCTCTTGCTGTTAGTTGCTATTGAGTCACCTTGATGTGGTGACAGCAGGCACATCAGGACAAGTATTTCTCTCGGAATAGCTCATCATGGTACAATATCGCAGCATCATTTTCAGATATTCAGTTTTATGATTTACTGTTCGAAACAGTGCCTTCATAGTCAGCCTTAGTGAAAACTAGGAAAAAAATATTCCACTTGTGTCAGAACCACCTCTACAATGGAATCTTTGGAGTAGAATCTGCTGTAAGCTGGGGACTCCCTGTTAGAAATGCGTGTGGACTTTTCTTTTTATTTATTTATTTATTTATTTTTAACATTTTATTAGGGGCTCATACAACTGTTATCCCAATCCATACACACATCAATTGTGTAAAGCGCATTTGTACATCGTTTCTC